TTGGTGCGTCACTTGGTCTACGACGGCCCCCACATATTAGTTTTGAACTTGAGGTTGCTAAGACCAGAACTTTGTAAACTTTATAAAGCTGCGTGAATAATAACTTTTACTTGAAATAATATATGTGATCTGTTAATCATGGCATCAGCACTTGTGCCAGAAATTGAGGTTCTGGATGAAGGACAAGATCCAGTTGGGACTAATACTGTAGAGGAAATACAAACTGGAGAGAAAAATGCTGCAAACATTCCTATTGCTTCAGACAGAAATCTAACTAATGCATTGACAACATTGCAAGAGAAGGAAAAAACTACATCGAAAACTAACTACAAAGCAGAACTCATAGCCAATTTAAGAACACTTAAAGAGAGTCAAATACTTAGAAAACAACAATTATTGTTGGAATTAAAAAGGGAACAATTAGCCTTAGAAATTGAACTTTCTATGTGTGAAAATGAAAGTGCTCATCCTCAATTTGAAACAACTACCCCTCATCAAAGAAGGCGTAACGTGACTACAAATATTGACCCTCCGACACTATCATTTTACAATGATCGTGTAATAGAACAGCAACCTATTGAACAATCAAATGTTAATTTGCAATCTGAGGTGTTAGTGCCTGAAAGTGGCTCAACTTTGCATAAGCTATTAGAGAAACAGACTAATCTCACTGAGACTTTATTGGATTATCAAAATAGAAGTCTGTTGCCCCAGCCTGATGTGACAAAATTTGATGGTAATCCGTTAGATTATAGAACTTTTGTTAAATCCTTTGAAAACAGGATAGAAAAAAGAATTTCAGATGATAGTGATAGATTGTATTATTTGGATCAGCTGACAAAAGGCGAAGCTAATGAGTTAGTGCGTAGTTGCCTGCACATGGATCCAAAAACAGGTTTTGCCAAAGCCAAACAACTGTTACATAAACATTTTGGTGATGAATATAAAATTACTACTGAACATTCTAATAAACTTTTAATGTGGTCCCCTATGAAACCTGAACATGTTGATCAGCTAAAGAAATTCTCCTTAGCACTGATTAGTTGCCTAAATGCTATGCATGACATAAATTATTTGACTGAAATGAATCATCCTAAGAATTTATATGAACTTATGGAGAAACTGCCATACAACATGAGAGATAAGTGGCGCAATAAAGTGAAAAGAGTTAAAGATCAAGAAGATAGAGTTGTGAATTTCGAAGACTTTGCTAAATTTGTTGAGTGGGAAGTCGATGCTATGACTGATCCTATTTTTGGTCGAAATGCGAAAGCTAATTCAAACTTTGATAAAAATAAACCAAAATCTAGTAGTTTTACCAAACCAAAACAAAGTTTGGCTACTAAAACTGACATAAATGTCAATACTGTAAAGTCAAAAAGATTGTGTTTTCATTGTAAAAAGGACAATCATCTATTAGATAATTGTTATGAATTTATGAAGTTGCCTATGGATAAGCGTAGAGACTATGCCAAGGAAAATTCATTGTGCTTTGGATGCCTTAGCAAAGGCCATGACTCTAAAGTTTGTCGTAAGAGAAAAACATGCCGAANATGTGATAAGCCTCACCCTACTTGTTTTCACTATGAACATCCAACTACTCAAGTTGTCAATAATGGACTGGTCAATAGAATGAATCAGGAACCAGAAGTCTTGATGGCAATATTGCCTGTAAATGTAAAAGTTAAAAACAGTAGAATGATAAAAACTTATGCATTTTTAGATAATGGCTCAAGCGGATGTTTTTCTTCCATAAATATCAAGAACAAATTAGGCTTGTTTTGTGAAAAGACGTCTTTAATGTTAGGAACAATGCATGGTAAATCTTTAGTTGAGAGTTATGTGATTGAAAATATGATAGTTTCAGACTTAAATAATCATAGCTCTCTTACATTGCCTAAAGTGTTTGTACGAGACAGTATTCCTGTGGATAGGTGTAATATTCCAACAAAATCTGTTATCCAAAGATGGGATTACCTGCAAACTCTGGACATTCCTGAACTGTTTAATGACTTAGAGATAGGCTTATTAATAGGGACAAACTGTGTATATGCCCATGAACCATTGAAAGTTATACCTAGTGTAAATGGTGGACCCTATGCCGTGTTAACTAGATTGGGGTGGACAGTTAATGGAGTAGTGAATCCCATTGAACATTCCTTTTCTGTTACTTGTAATAGAATATTCTTGAAGGAAGTGAACTCAACAAAAAGCCATGAAGTGGTGATGAAAGAATCTGTACGGGAAGTTATGGACCCAAAATTACTTTGTCAAATATTTGAAAGGGACTTCAATCACATAGAACTT